CATTATAAGCCCAACCCTGTTTAATATCATGATCAATGATCTTTTTGACCATGTCAACTCTCCTACCCAAACTTCTAAGTTCGCTGATGACGGAGCAATATGGGTAAAGCACAGAGATATCTCACAAATCAGAAAAAAACTCCAGTCAGCCCTGGACGGAGTAGATCAATGGTGCAATAAATGGGGATTCACCCTTTCAAGTGAAAAAACTGTTGGAGTTCTATTCAAACGCCGGGGGAAAGATGCTATGATACCCCGTGTCTCCATAAAAGGCAAACCTATCAAATTCGAAAAATCTGCAATATTTCTTGGAGTTATCCTTGATCAACACCTCACTTGGCGCAAGCATATGGAATATGTGGAAAACAGATGTCAAAAAGACCTGAACGTATTACGGGCAATTTCAGGCACATCTTGGGGCACATCGAGGGACACTCAGCTGGACCTCTACAAAGCTCTTATCAGATCAAAAATTGACTATGGTTGTGAGGCTTTTCACTCAGCATCAAATACTGTCTTGAGGCGACTAGACAGAATACAATACAAAGCCCTAATACTGGCCACAGGCGCAGCGACAGGCACCTCACTAGAAGCACTACAAGTAGAAACGGGAGAACTCCCATTGAAACTAAGACGAGAGCAGGCAATATTATCGTTCTGGGGACGAACATCAAACCCTTTGGTTAAAAAGATATGGCAAGACAAAAACGCTCGAGATGAGGCCCTAGCTCGAAAAAATCCCTCACTAAAGCCATCTGGGATATTAGTACGTGAACTCATTCGAAGTCACAATTGCGATGACATTCAGCCTCCAGAAAGTCACTACAAAGGGTTACACCCTCCCTGGACTTTACAAACTCCCAAAGTTGACACTGCTTTAACATCAGAAGTCACTAAAAGAGAAAACCCAACCCTACTACGATCAGTAGCTATCACTAAAATTCAAACTACCTGGGACAGCTGGGCCCATATATACATTGATGGATCCAAGAATCCTATCAACAACAGTGCTGGTTACGGGATCCATATCCACAGCTCCAAACCCCAAGCACATTCAGTTCGCTTGCCCGATGGTCAGTCAGTATTCACGGCTGAATTGGAGGCAATTCATCATGCACTCAAACTCATACCGGAACTCCCGGAAGCAAAGGCAGTCGTCCTATCAGACTCGCTAAGTGCACTTCAGGCCATCAGTGGAAGAAACTCAAACTCCAGGCCAAACACAGTCAACAATATTCTATACGAATATACAAAACTATCGGACCAAGGGCAACAGGTGGAGCTGTGTTGGATCCCCTCTCACATAGATATTCATTGAAATGAAAAAGCAGACTCACTGGCGAAGCTAGCTCTAGACAAAGCGGATATACAGCCTATTCCCTTTAGTAAACTAGAGATAAAAAACAAAATCAAAGCCTCCATAGCAAAAAGATGGCAAACCCAATGGAACGCAAGTAAGATCGGCAGATGGCTATACAAAATTCAACCCAAGGTCCAACAAAAGCCAAACTCATACTCAAATGAAAGGAAAATTGAAACTGCTTTCTCACGCCTCAGACTTGGTCACAAAAAGCACTATGACAAGGTTTGTTCATCTTGCAATCAGGCTGAAACCATTGACCACCTGTTACTAGAATGTCAAGACCATGCCCCAGCCCGGGCTAGGTTAAAACAAGCATTGCAGTTAGATCCGCTATCTGTCATAGATCTCCTAAAGCCAAGAGATGCAATAGCGAAGGCCAAACTAACTCTATTTCTGAGAGATGGACAGCTGCTCGAACGTATATAAACAGAGCAGCCAAGGATAAAAATGAAATCATATCAATATAAGAAAATAGAAATCATATCAATGCAAAAACAGAAATTATGTGAACACCGAACTCACAATAGATATGTGAACCCTTCTCACACACAGGAGTCCCAAAGAGGGACAGGTCAGCCGAAATTGCCGAGGCAGAAGGCGACCTCTCAAACACCTAATGCAACAACAACATCAGTCAGAGAGACAGCCTGGAGACAGCCTGGAGACACCCAGAAGATCGTCTCGTGTAAGTGACAGAACGATTCTCCCACCAGGGAAGATTGGCCACTCGGTCCGCAGTGCGGTCTGTCACGTTATTATCAACATGTACCCTTTCGACTCATTTTAACCTGCATCAATAAATATGGCTGCTGTCGTCTAAACTTCACCGCCGAGTTTTGTCATCCGTCATCACCCTGAGCTACCATCCGAGGGCCGAAACCTACGCCCTTGGACAGATATATCTTAATAAAACTTATTATTAATCCTAGCACCTTTCCGTAACTCAAGCTTGTTTCCCATTTTCGCCATATTTTCTGAGTGAGTGAGTTCGGTTTTACGCCTCTTTAGCAATATTCCGGCAAAATCATTGCTGGGGACACCAGAAATGGGCTTCGCACATTGTACCCATGTGGGTTTGTTTCTTGGAAATATTCCAACTACGTGACGGCGGTCTGCAAATACTCGAGTCTGTACTACACCATCCAGTGATCGACATCATGAGCATCGATCTACGCAACTGGGATACAATGACGACACGTATCATCCAAGTCAGCGAGCCTGACCACCCGATCCCGTTTGTCGGCTCTTATGACAAGCACAGTCGCCTTTTAAGGCAAGCATGGGTTGATGAAGACCAATTCTAACGCGGGTCTTCACGGGTTGTACCCATGTGCGTCATCGAAGCCGGGCCTACGGCGCGAACGCTTTAACCACCCTCAAGGGTACCCCAACGCCCGACCCATGGGATTCGTGAAACTGGAACGTAGTGATTTACCCAGCAATTTGGCCTTTTTAAAATGAACTCACGCTATACATCTTAAGGGACCGACCATATTAATTTCGTTGGAGGGATTTTGTTTGGAGGCTAGGTATTTCTTCATTCTTCAGATACTGATGCAAAACAAAACATTTTTATTTAATTAACACTAGGAGCCTCAATATTTAAGCTTGATAATTATGGGTTATTTTAATTGTTTTGGCAGACAATATCGTTTTTACCCAAAAGTCTGAAGCATAATTATTCCAATTTCCACACTGGGTCCTCCAGAAACACGGTTTCAAAGTGTGAGCGCTTGCTGTGCCACGTAGTTGCTACACCGCTGTGTTGCATTCCAAATATATAATGAGGAACAAAGGGAACTGTACATCTCTGTGGATTTTATCATATCTTTGATTTTCATTTAAAAATATCTTAAGTTAGCGATATCATACCCAAAAAAATATTCTGGCTTTTTGTCAGCACTCACACAATACCCCAACATGGTTTTATTTTTTGTAAATATCATTTGATTTAGAACTTCTAAAAATTATAAGAATTCATTCACATAATACACAACTGTTGATGGGTATCTAAGATATCTTACCTTGAAAATCAATAAATGTGCTCTTTTCGGCATAAATTTATAACATTTCAAACACGTTAGGGGTCATGTGGTTGCAAGTTTATTTCCAACCCCAGTCTGCATTGAACCAATATATTTTTACAGATATTACCCAGCCACAGATAACATTTCACAAACTGTTGCAGGAATGAGTGATGGTTAAATAGACATAATCAAATTTAACAAGTTGTTTAAATTTTCAATTACATAAAAACAACAACTCGGTATTTTTTCTTTTGAGCCTCAGTTAATATCTGTTTTGCTCGTGTGGCACTTTATACATATTGTTCATAATTCTTTAATATTTTTTATTCATAATCGTCATAATGATAAAACTGCATTAAATTGTTAAGGCGCTTGGCAACTCATGCTCGACTATCCACTGTATTATATCTCCATTCCGTTGTGATGAATACCACTAACAATTACCATTTATTATTTAAAAAGCATGTGCGAAGTTTGGAACTCACAAAATCCAAGCCTATTACGAAGAGGGGCGTCAAAATCGGTTCTACATTGTGAATCCATGTGGTGAACTGGTGTGACGAGTCAACGCTTTAACCTCGCTAGACAAACCCCACCGCCAATGGCTTTGTTGGTTAACATTATTCATATAAACCAATGTCAAATCAGGTTGTATATTTCAAGCAGGTGTTCACCAGAATAGTGACATGATGGCATGGTTACGAGTTTAGCCAATCGGGAAACACTTCCGTTGCACGAGTTTTTCATGCGCGTAAACGAGACTCCATGGATCGAACCAGACGACGCTAACTTTATCAAGTGTACCGGTGCATGTTAAATTAATTTCAACAAGCTGTTTAGAATTCATTTAAAATCGAGATTACAATGGGCAATTTCTTATGTTTATATTATTCACACGCAACGGTGAACGCTGCTTTTTTGGGTGTATATCATGTGCATTATGAAGACTTTCCTGCCCTGCCGTATGTTTTCACTCCGGAGAGGACGTTGAACAAAACGACAAGGTAAGTGCAGCAATATGTAATTAAACAATCTGTTGATGAACTTATAATTATGTAAAAGTGTAACAATTCAAAGATGATGTTATGTTATGTTCGATACAGGCCAGGCCCATGGGAGCGTTTTGCTGTCATTGTGTGTGTGTGTGTGTGTGTGTGTGTGTGTGTGTGTGTCTCTCTCTGTGTGTGTGTGTGTGTGTGTGTGTGTGTGTGTGTGTGTGTGTGGAATGGGGATGGGGTGGGGGCGGGGTGGGGGCGGGGTGGGGGGTGGGAGGCATTGTCCCATGTCGTCAATGAATTTAAAGCATATTATGAAATGTGAGCATACAGCATGTACATAGAAACTACTTTTTCTAAATTTTGTTTGGCACCAAATACTCTGTATGTATGCAGATGTTGGCCAATGTGTGGAGGCGTTGGACAATAGTCCTTGTGAAAATTTGTTGAAAATAATAATTTGGTGTGTGTGTGTGCGTGCGTGTGTGCGTGCGTGCGTGCGTGCGTGCGTGTGTGTGTGTGTGCGTGTGTGCGTGCGTGCGTGCGTGCGTGTTTGAGCGGGGGCGGCGCAACGGGGTGGGGGTGTCAAGGGGGAGCGCACTTTTTAACTCAGTTGCCCTGTATTCTGGCATACTGGTGCGCTCCTCATTGAAGCCGCCCACGGCCGTGCTCCGCGCCTGCATCACGAGGTATGTATTTATGTATATGTGTCTATGGATGGATGTATATGTGCGGTGTATGTTTAGTATGAGTACGCGCCTCTGTGTGGCTGAAAAGTAGCTTCACGTAGGTATGTGTCCGTGTGCTACATTTTGTATTCTGTTTCAACTGAATAGTTTTATTATTGAAAGGTTTATTGTGTCTCGTAGGCCATATTTGGCCGGATAATATATTTCACTGTTTTGTATATTTCCTGTCACGAAGTGTATATAACATGTGACACATTAATAAACAATATTCTCTCTCTCTCTTCTCTGTCACTATCACTTTCGATGACAATCCGGCGTCTTTTGACTGGGACCGGGCTTGGAGGTCTAACGAGATTAACTGTTATGTTTCCACCAGTAATGTTGCCAGCAAACATAGTGTTGACACCACCAGAAACATTTATTATTTGAGACCGCAGACTGTTGTCTACTGTCGATTTGGACATAACGCGAGGGGCCGCTCTGGATGACGGGAGTTTCATCAACAAGCTGGGATGTCACAGTGTGGGATGGAGTGTTTCGTGAAATGATGTTGGATAATTGCTTGTGCTGGTCAGGATTAATATGGCAGTAATTGTTCACGGAATGGATCTTTTGTGGCCTGTTATCTGCATTATTTGATTTGGCGGAACGTTCTTGTCATTCAACTTTTGCACAAGGAGTTTGCGCGCAGAATGATTTGTGAGTCGTTTCGATGTTTGGAGACTGGCGGCATCGCACATGTTTTTCATGAGAGAGAGGAAAGTTTGTTTTTCCCAATACGATAGCGGATAAAACCACTGATCGCCAGGTTTAGGCATACCTAAAGTGTGTGTGCCGATGTAAAAGGGATCGTCATCTCGACAGAAGTCAAGTGGACGCGTGGAGGCATACAACTTATACACCTGCACAGGGCACCGGGAGGGATCAGCAACATTAGCCCACATTTTGGGCCTAACGTCGCGCCAATCACGAGGATTATATTCTCACCGGACCTATTCTTTTCTTGTCTCATGGAAAGTTCAAGATATTCGTGATCGTCTCCATCAACATGCAATTTGATGTCCCCCCAACACATGTTGTAGTGATCATTGACACCTCTTAACCCGAAATGGATTGTGTTGTAGAGCCATAGACAGTATATTATGCTCATTGGATTACTGATTCCAATGGATCCGGACTGCCACAGGGACTCGATCTCTTCATCTCCAATCGGGTCGGCTCTCCTTGGTAAGTTGCCACGCCCTTCTTTCTTTAGTTCAATTTTTCTCCCCTTGATACTTCCCGTGATCGTGAAAATCTAAAGATAGCCATACCCCCTTCGTTTTAGTGATCTCTCGATGCTGCTCTGAAAACCAGTGAGACTGTTTGGTTCATAATTTTCCCCATTTGTTTTTCGAACACTAATGAAAAACTTGCAGAGAAGTGTGTCTAGTTCGTTTGGGGGGATTTCGTGCATTTGGCTAAATTCATTTTGGACTTTTAGAAAGTTATCGAACAGTTTCAAATCGTACAAAGTTTTCTTGGCTGTGTTTTTGTTTTGATTGTCTGGGATCACACCATCGATAATGCCGTCCTCAACAACCACAAATCTTCCTTGGGCATCTTTCGGCTTTGTGTTCGTCGTCTGCTTCGCCGTGCTCGACGATGACGTTTTCCTTTATACAGTTTTTGTACGGTTGAATATATATAATACCGTGGCACTATTTTGTGCATCACCATGAATTTATACCATGAATTTGTGCATATCATATATATCGTGACACGTAAATAAATCTCTCAATATTATTTCACTTATATAGCGACGTGCATGCACGTTTGTGTGCGTGTGTATGTGTGTGTCTGTGTGTGTCTGTGTGTATGGATATACCTGCGTGTGTGTACTTGTACTAGTCCGGACTAATGCCGATTTTATAGTGCTAGCCCAATGAGATACCATGTCGCAGTTTAACATAGTTACCCCCACTCAGCCAAAGCATTCTGACTCCGAGCCTTGTTTAAGGCCCTTAATGCCGATCGCCAGGCAGGATAAATTTTAAGTTCCATCTTTTAACGTATTTTGGTATGACGCGGCCGGTGATTGAACCCCCCAACTTTCCGCTCTCCTTGCAAACGCTCTACCACTAGACCACGGGGGCCTATCGCTTCAAAGATAGAATATATTCTTTATTTCTTCCGTATGAACGAATATTACAATATGTAGAGATAATATCGATCCCGATGCGAAATGGAGAAATGTTGTTTGGGCAATTGGTTTGTTTGGAGTTCTGTTTTGTCAAGTATTAATCCAAAATGTTTGCTGTATATTTTGATGAAATTTGAAATTGCCGTGAATATTGCCGATTCATTAAATGTTCTGAAGAGTAAAGCTAGATTGTGTATTATTTTTATGTAGAGCCCGAACAGAAGTTTGTTAGTGATCATGATATAAAGATCAGTTGTCAAGGTCCTCGGTTGTTTTGCAGTTTGTACATTGATCATTATAGTGTTTAGTTGCAGAGTTTAGCTTCAGTTGTGACATATGATTCCACTTCCGAGTTAGTTTTTTTAATGTATTAGTTCCATTAGACGCGCCACCCCCTGTTAAAATGAGTTGTACTTTTAATGTTTTAGCTCAAGTTGGGATCCATCGAGATCTCTCAGACGATGCAGATACAGACATTATGGTTTTAAATTTTATGGTTATTGAAATGAGTTTGCAGGGCTCGTAAATACCACTCGTCCGCTCGTATTGACCAGTGGTAGCATGTGCAGGGGGAGAAAGAAGTGATCAAACGCTCGTCCTACCGGGCGAGTAAATATTTCAGTCTTACAATTCATCTCTAATCAAATTCAATAAAAGATTGTATTTTCTTTAGTGTAGTGCGCAAGTTATGTTTAAGAAATTTTTCGAGCCCTGAGTTGGCATTTTAATGTGTGGGTACCCCTTGAGGAGCCCCATTTCTTATTATAATGAGTCTATCCTTTTTAGCTCCTGCTAAGACGCTTTACTTTCTGTAAAAATGAGTTGGTCTCTAATTTTTCATTACCAGTTGTGACACGCCACTAAATATGCTGACTTGGTCTCAAACGTTCCAGCTCCTATTGTGATGCGCTACTTTACATAATCAGTTGGTCTCTAATGTTTAAGCTCCATTTGTGACATCTGTTATTATGTGGTGTTCTCTCATGTTTTAGCTCTAGTTTAAATATCTCCAGTCGCAATGCGTTGTTCTCTAATATTTTAGCTCCAGCTGAGATGCGCCACCTCCTAGTTTAATCTGATGCTCTCTAATGTTTCAGATCAAGTTGAGATGCGCCAAATCCTATAATTATTATTTGTTGGTCGTTTAATGTTTGAGCTCCAGTTGAGACGCGCAACTTCCTTCTATAATGAGTTTTTTTATGATTCATATCTAGTTGGATACGCCTCACTTAGACGAAGCAGATTATGTTTCCTGACAGAATCATTCTTTCAATATTATGGTTTAAACTCGGCGCTACTTTAACTCCATATAGTTTCTGTAGTCACACTGACCTCGACTGAATGTAAACATGTCCTTCTACAATTGTAGGTTATACCCAGACGACCAAGGTGCCTGGACATGGATTCCACATTGCAACTGTCCGTGGTCACGTGGGCTCATTTCTGAGAAAGCCATGCTATGCTGGACTTTCTCTGTGAAGAATGTGGTCAGTAGATATAGGGGTGTATTTTGCTGCTCCGAGTGTTCCGAGTAGTAGGGAAAGTATAACCTTCCGTATTCATGGTGAAGTGTAAGAATGAGTTGCGGGTGCTGTCCACACCCAATGATACCCCAGTTACCGTAGAAAGGCAGTTGTAGTGTCGGCTGAGGTCGTCTGGAAGTCTGATCTCTTTTGCACTTGTATTGAGAGTTAATATAAAGCTCTCAGCTTCTGGTTGAGATGCGCCACTTCTATAAGGAGTTGGTCTTTAAATGCTTCAGATCCCGATGAGATGCGCCACTTCTATAAGGAGTTAGTCATTTAATGTTTCAGGTCCCGATGAGATGCGCCACTTCTATAAGGAGTTAGTCATTTAATGTTTCAGGTCCCGATGAGATGCGCCACTTCTATAAGGAGTTGGTCTTTAAATGTTTCAGATCCCGTTGAGAAGCGCCACTTATATAAGAAGTTAGTCTTTAAATGTTTCAGATCCCGTTGAGAAGCGCCACTTATATAAGAAGTTAGTCTTTAAATGTTTCAGATCCTGATGAGACGCGCCACTTCTAATAGGAGTTGGTCTTTAATGTTTCAGATGCAGTTGAGACACGCCACTTATATAAGGAGTTGGTCTTTAAATGTTTCAGATCCCGTTAAGACGCGCCACTTCTAAAAGGAGTTGGTCTTTAATGTTTCAGATCCCGTTGAGACGTGCCACTTCTAATAGGAGTTGGTATTTAATGTTTCAAGTCCCGATGAAATGCGCCACTTCTATAAGGAGTTGGTCTTTAATGTTTCAGGTCCCGATGAGATGCGCCACTTCTATAAGGAGTTGGTCTTTAAATGTTTCAGATCCCGTTGAGAAGCGCCACTTATATAAGAAGTTAGTCTTTAAATGTTTCAGATCCCGTTGAGAAGCGCCACTTATATAAGAAGTTAGTCTTTAAATGTTTCAGATCCTGATGAGACGCGCCACTTCTAATAGGAGTTGGTCTTTAATGTTTCAGATGCAGTTGAGACACGCCACTTATATAAGGAGTTGGTCTTTAAATGTTTCAGATCCCGTTAAGACGCGCCACTTCTAAAAGGAGTTGGTCTTTAATGTTTCAGATCCCGTTGAGCCGTGCCACTTCTAATAGGAGTTGGTCTTTAATGTTTCAGATGCAGTTGAGACACGCCACTTATATAAGGAGTTGGTCTTTAAATGTTTCAGATCCCGTTAAGACGCGCCACTTCTATAAGAAGTTAGTCTTTAAATGTTTCAGATCCCGTTGAGACGCGCCATTTATTTAAGGAGTTGGTCTTTAATTATTTCAGATACCCGTTTAGACGCACCGCTTATATAAGAAGTTAGTCTTTAAATGTTTCAGATCCCGTTGAGACGCGCCATTTATTTAAGGAGTTGGTCTTTAATTATTTCAGATACCCGTTGAGACGCGCCGCTTATATAAGAAGTTAGTCTTTAAATGTTTCAGATCCCATTGAGACGCGCCATTTATTTAAGGAGTTGGTCTTTAATTATTTCAGATACCCGTTGAGACGCGCCGCTTATATAAGGAGTTAGTCTTTAAATGTTTCAGATCCCGTTGAGACGCGCCATTTATTTAAGGAGTTAGTCTTTAAATGTTTCAGATCCTGATGAGACGCGCCACTTCTAATAGGAGTTGGTCTTTAAATGTTTCAGATCCCGTTAAGACGCGCCATTTATTTAAGGAGTTGGTCTTTAATTATTTCAGATACCCGTTGAGACGCGCCGCTTATATAAGGAGTTAGTCTTTAAATGTTTCAGATCCCGTTGAGACGCGCCATTTATTTAAGGAGTTAGTCTTTAAATGTTTCAGATGCAGTTGAGACACGCCACTTATATAAGGAGTTGGTCTTTAAATGTTTCAGATCCCGTTAAGACGCGCCACTTCTATAAGAAGTTAGTCTTTAAATGTTTCAGATCCCGTTGAGACGCGCCATTTATTTAAGGAGTTGGTCTTTAATTATTTCAGATACCCGTTTAGACGCACCGCTTATATAAGAAGTTAGTCTTTAAATGTTTCAGATCCCGTTGAGACGCGCCATTTATTTAAGGAGTTGGTCTTTAATTATTTCAGATACCCGTTGAGACGCGCCGCTTATATAAGAAGTTAGTCTTTAAATGTTTCAGATCCCATTGAGACGCGCCATTTATTTAAGGAGTTGGTCTTTAATTATTTCAGATACCCGTTGAGACGCGCCGCTTATATAAGGAGTTAGTCTTTAAATGTTTCAGATCCCGTTGAGACGCGCCGCTTATATAAGAAGTTAGTCTTTAAATGTTTCAGATCCCATTGAGACGCGCCATTTATTTAAGGAGTTGGTCTTTAATTATTTCAGATACCCGTTGAGACGCGCCACTTATATAAGGAGTTGGTCTTTAAATGTTTCAGATCCCGTTAAGACGCGCCACTTCTATAAGAAGTTAGTCTTTAAATGTTTCAGATCCCGTTGAGACGCGCCATTTATTTAAGGAGTTGGTCTTTAATTATTTCAGATACCCGTTTAGACGCACCGCTTATATAAGAAGTTAGTCTTTAAAT